TTTGATTGGGGCATTTAGTCCATTGACATTTAGGGATAGTATTGTTATGTGTGAATTTGATGCTGTCATTTTGATGCTACCTGGCTGTTTTGTTGGTTAGTTGATGCAGATTCTTGATTGTGTTGCTGCTTTTTTACCATTTGGTGTGTTTTTGGAGTGGCTGGTACTGGTTTTTCCTTTATGTGTGTAGAGCCTCTTTCAGGAGTTCTTGTAGAGCAGGTTTGGTGGTGATGAAATCTCTGAGTGCTTGCTTGTTCACAAAGGATTTTATTTTTCCTTCACTTATGAAGCTGAGTTTGGCTGGATAGGAGATTCTGGGTTGAAAGTTCTTTTCTTTAAGGATGTTGAATATTGGCCCCCAGTCTCTTCTGGCTTGTAGGGTTTCTGCTGAGAGATCTGCTGTGAGTCTAATGGGCTTCCCTTTGTGGGTAACCCGACCTTTCTCTCTGGCTGCCCTTAGCATTTTCTCTTTCATTTCAACCCTGGTGAATCTGACGATTATGTGCCTTGGGGTTGCTCTTCTTGAGGAGTATCTCTGTGGTGTTCTCTGTATTTCCTGGATTTGAATATTGGTCTGCCTTGCTAGGTTGGGGAAGTTTTCCTGGATAATATCCTGAAGAGTATTTTCCAGCTTGGATTCATTCTCTTCATCACATTCAGGTACACCTATCAGACGTAGATTAGGTCTTTTCACATAGTCCCACATTTCTTGAAGATTTTGTTCATTCCTTTTTGCGCTTTTTTCTCTGTTCTTGCCTTCTCTTTTTATTTCATTGAGTTGGTCTTCGACCTCTGATATCCTTTCTTCTGCTTGGTCAATTCGGCTGTTGAAGCTTGTGCATGCTTCACGAAGTTCTCGTGTTGCGTTTTTCAGCTCCATCAATTCACTTATTCTCCTCTCTATGCTGTCCATTCTCGTCAGCAGTTCGTCCAATCTTTTTTCAAGGTTCCTATTTTCTTTGCGATGGGTTAGAACATGTTCTTTTAGCTCATTGTAGTTTCTTACTACCCATCTTCTGAAGTCTGATTCTGTCATTTCATCACCCTCCTCCATCCGGTCTGGTTCCCTTGCTGGTGAGGAGTTGTGATCACTTTTAGGAGGAGAGGTGTTCTGGTTTCGGGAGTTTTCATCCTTTTTACGCTGGTTTCTACCCATTTTTGTGGGTTTATCCACCTGTTGTCTGTCTCTGTCCCAGGGAGTTGGAGCTTTATGAGTTTCCGTTGCACTACTGCCTTTTTTGATTTTTTTTTTTTTCAGGTCGGACCCGCCCAGCTAGCAGCACGCCTAGCCTCTGCCTGCCCGCAGGGGCTTTGCTGAGCTGCTGTGGGCTCCGCCCAGCTGCCCTGAGCTCTTCCCTGTAGTCCTTTTTATATGGGCGTAGTTAGAACTGTCTGGGCAATGGTGGCCCCGCCTCTGTTATGGCGGACTCTCTCTGTTGTGGCAGGTTGCCTCGGCAACGGCGGGTTGCCTCGGCAACGGCAGCCTGCCTCCGTAGCGGTGGAGAGTCTCAGTAATGGCGGAAGCCCCTCCCCCACGGAGCCGGACCGTCCCGGTTCAGCTGTGCTTGGTTTGAAGGGCTCAACCCAGAGGGTTTCCAATTACTGTTTTTGTTTTCGTTGTTGTTGGGGGTGGAGGGGTGGGACCAACCGAGCCTGATCACCTGGCTCCCTGGCTCAGAGTCTTTTCTTTTAAGTTGAACGACCCCGCGTTCCGGTCGCTTGTTGAAAAGGCGCCGGGATCTCCCGTGCTGCGACTCATGGAGTCGGCTCGAACCGCGGCGCCGGCTCCTGGCGGATTTTTTGCCTAGGAATCTCCTGGCCTGGCTCGCTATTTCAGATGAATGGGCTATTCTGCCGTCTCAAGGCTCTGCTCGCCAGCTAAGAGGGCTCCCAGACCAGTGGCTTTTGTACGGAGAACCGCAGCAACAGGGAGTGGTCACAGCAGCCGCGCGGGCGGAATCAGCCCCGCGGGGGCCAAAACAGCCACACCGGCTGGGACTGCGACGCTGGCCACCCCTCTGCCTGGGTATCTCCTGGTCTGTGGGCAATAAGAGTTCGTCTGGAAATGCGGCGTCCACTCACCCTCTGCACTTTCACTGGGAGCTGAAGTCCTGAGCTGTTCTTAGGCGGCCATCTTGAAAGTCCAGCCTAATAGGATTATTAAACCAGCTATTTTGTGAAGCTAGGATTCAAAGTTCTGAATTTTTAGTTTAATTTCTCCTCATTACCTCTATTTAGTTTTTAAAAGTTAAGGAAATTATTTTCCAGCTGGACATTGGTGGCTTACATCTGTCATTGCAGCATTTTGGGAGGCCAAAGCAGGCAGATCAGTTGAATCTTGGAGTTTGAGACCAGCCTGGCCAACGTGGTAAACCCTGTCTGTACTAAAAGTACAAAAATTAACCTGGCGTGGTGGCATATGCCTGTAATCCCAGTTTCTTGAGAGGCTGAGACACAAGAATTGCTTGAACCCAGCAGGTGGAGGTTGCAGTGAGCTGGAGAACCATGGCATTCCAGCCTGGGCAACAAGCAAGAGGCAAGACTCTGTCTTTAAAAAAAAAAAAAAAAAAAAAGAATAATTATTTTCCATATTATAAAAGACACTTTAAATTCACCAAAAGCGCATTAGATTTTTAAATTGTTTTTAAAACAAGTAAATCATATGGCAGATCACTTCTGAGTTCTCAACTCTTCTTTATCTAAAATCAGTAAAATTAATTTAAATGTAACTTTATTACAAAACATAATATGAATTTTGTTTCTAGCAGGCCATGGCTTCTAGTTCTGATCCTGGCTTTGTCGCTAGCTATGTGTCCTCATATAAGTTAATGATGTTTTAGAGCATTTGTTTCATTATTTGTAAAATTAGAGTTGTCTAGTGTATGCTTTCCTAGTTTTCTTTTTTAACTCTGTGTTGGTTTCTGTTTGTGTGTTTTAAAATATAATTATTTAATCTAGGCTTTTTCTTGTTTTCAGGAGTGTGTATAATGGCCCATCCTCTAGAATACACGTTCATAGTCTCTTTGACCTTTTTAATTCTAATATAACATACATGTACTGGTCAGCATAGGCTAGATTGTGCAGCAGTAACAGCTTCTCTAACTTCAGTACATTAAAACAACAAAGCTTATTTCAGGCTTCTAATACCTGTCTGCCTATGATGTGTGATTTGGGATCTTTACTCTGTGTTGTCCTCATTCTGGTACTCAGTCTTTCAAAGTACCCACCTGCAGAGTTTTGCAGGTGCTGTAGCAAGGTGAGAGAAAGAATAGTTGTATCATATATTGTCTTTGAAAGTTTTCAACCAGAAGTAAATACATGTCACTTTTGTTTAGATGACTTTGACCAAAGCAAGTCATATGGCCATATCTAACTTCAAGGGGGCTAGAAGTGCTATCTCACAATGTGTCTTGGACACACGAAGACACAAGAATATTTGATGAACAGCTCTTATGACTAGCCATTAGGTTTTAAATCAAATGTTGAAATTTGGTAGGAGTATAAATTAGAGGTACATTTGTGGAGGGCAGTTTGCAGACATATGAAAAAGATAGAAATATGTCTACCATTTGATATTGCAGTTTCAATTTTAATAAATTATTAAATAGGCATGGTTTATACATTCGTAGAGCATATTTTATGGGATGGGAGGCAAGAGGGATAGCATCAGAAATAATTAAAGTGAGACAGGTTAAGAGCTATGATAGAGAAATACGTAGGGTGATTCTAAAGCATACAGAAAACATTCTCATCCTCTATTTTCCAGTTGACTGATTCTCTCTTCAGCTGTGTATAATCTGCTATTAAATCTCCCTTGTTGAATTTTAAATTTCAGTTCTTATAATTTTTTGTTTCTAAGAGAGTTATTCAAATCTGCTAGGTTACTTGTTATAGTTTCCTATCTCAGAAGATATTTTCAAGCTTGTCTTTTATGAAGAAATTATTTTCTCAATTTATCCTATCATTTTGAGTATCTACAAATCTTTTGGTAATGAAAATTAAAAGTGACATGGTTATAATTTATTAAAATCTGACAGTGTTCAGGGGGAAAAATGGTCCAGATTGTGTATATAGATTATAACCTTTAAAAAATTTGCTCAAAGTGAATATTATTAGGTAATACACAGAAATTTTAGGATTTGAGTTAGGTGTTTGGGATTATGACTGATTTTTAAAACATTTTTCTAAACTGTCTATAATGTTATTTCATCGTTTCTACTTTTTCCAACTTTGTTGAGGTATGATTGACAAAACTGTATAAAATTAAGGTATACAATGTGATAATTTGATCCATATTATAAAACAATTTCCACAATCAAGTTAGTTAATATTTCTATCCCTTCACCTAATTATTATTATTCTTATTTTTTTGTAGTGAGAACATTTAAGATCTATTCTCTTAGCAGGTGCCAAGATTACAATAGAGGATTGTTAACTATGATCATCATGCTCTCTTTCATAGCTTTTAGAACTTAAGAGATGAGGCTGGCAAACATAACTTAAAAAACAAACCGAAAGTAATTAATTATATTAATGGGAAATAATTTATTAATAGAATTGGAGTTTTAAAAGATATTTACCCTTGCCTTTTCATCAAAAAAGTTCTGAGTTTCTATCACAAATTCAATCAACATTGTTAGATGTGTCACTTTTATCCTTCTTGTCTTGATGATAGAAAGTTTAAGTCCATGTAGTGCATGGAGTACAAAAGGAAAATTATGCAAACATACTTTTCCTTTTCTTCTCACTCTTTTTTCTTTCTTGTATGAGCTAGATTCATGTCACCTCTAGAAGCAGAGTTAGGAATGCAGAGATTTTTTAGCATTTGGAGGGAAGAAGAAAATAAAGAGAAAGATAGGAACTTTTTCTTTGAGAGTTTATTTTCTGCTAGAAAATACTATGTCTCTCAAGAAGAAAACTGTGCTTGTGGGACCAAAGATATTTAGCATTTTTTAAAATGATTAAACTCTTCATAATACTTTTTGGAAAATGTCTTTTAGGAAGAAGAAAGGCGTATGGCATCTGTTTTAGCCAAAAAAGAGGAAGAGAAGAAACGGGAAAGTCATAAACAATCTTTGCTTAAGGTATTTTCTCTGATGTCTGCCTGGATATGTGTGCACACGTAGACACACATACCCAGAAGCTACTGAGGTAGTCTACTAGAAAAGTGGTTTCTAAGCTTTATAAGTTTCATTCAACAGAATGAAGCTAGTTTTAAAAGGAAGAGATGAAAAATAAATATAATTGAAATTATAACACTTTTATTTCATACCAGTGCATCTTGTGTATCCCATGGCCTGTTCACTTCATTTTGCAAAGTACTGTAATTGACTGAAATCTTAATATATATATATACATATAAATATATATATATGAACTCTGCTACATGTTCATTTAATGATAACTTTTTAAATTTAAACAGTTTCTGATATAGAAGTGATAAAGATTTTGTGGAACTAGGAATGGAAATTTGTTTTAAATTGGTTTAAAATTATTTAGCAGATATTAATTTCCTTAAAGTATTATCTTTTAAATATTTTATATTAATATCACAAAGTATAATAAATAAAGACAGCTTAAAATGTATAGTTCATAATATGCATCATGCTATTTTCTAAAATTAAGGATATCACCTTGATTATCATTACTCATTCATGTTCTGTATAGAAGCTTTTCTTTTTAAAATTAAAATGGCACTCAGAGTTCAAAAAAAATTACCAGGCAAGCAAGGTGCTATGTACCTGACGTCTGAACTACTTGGGAGGCTAAGGCAGGAGGATTGCTTGAGCCCAGGAATTTGAGTCTAGCCTCAGGAAAATATAGTGAGACAAAACAAAATGTCACTTAATATGACTCTTTAGTTATAAGGTTTATTTAGTATTTTTATTTTTAGTAAGAGGAAACCCGTGGGGAATCAGGAGACCCGGGTTCTAGCCCTAGCTCGGATTTGGAATCGTGATAAAACAGACCCTCAGCATTTGGTGAGGATTGCTCATGCAGCTCTACATATTGATCATTAAGAAAGTGAGATGGATTGGGTATAGGACAGGAAGAGTGTATAGACACTATCTTCTGCCTTGTTGCTTTTCTATCTTTTTATTTTCATTGCAACCTGAGAAGTGAAGGGAAGTAAAAGTTATGGCATACACTGTTGTGGTCTTCCTTGGACTATGAAAAAGAGACTCAACTGGCAGAAGTTGGAATTTGGCACCTTCTAAAATATTTGTCACTCTAGCACATACTTGGCCATTTATTGGCATCTAGCTATTAGAAACATAATTGTCACTGATATACCAAATGCCTCTGTGATCTTTAAACTTTTCTTTGGGTACCCCCTTCTGCCTTGCAGAATCTCTAGCATTCTCTAACCCTTCTTTTGCTGCTGCTGCTTCTTTCTTTTTTTCTGCACAGATGCCCAGAGCCCTTATGTGTCCTCCTGACCAGCCGTTAATTAATCCCCACCTGACCTTAAGATAGGCTATACTCCTGTATTAAAATATGTCTTCCCTTTTCCTGGCCCCAGTAAAATTAATCATTCTCTTAGTCAACCTGATATTGATCTGACTTTAATAACTTGAATTAAGGAAGCTTAACTTCAGCACGAATGTAGGAAAGTGTTTGCATTTTCAAAGACTATCCTGTTATAAATTTGTTAACATACTCAGCAGTCTAAAGACATTTTATGCCCTTTTTCTAAGCACTGCTATATCTACCTCATTCTGAATATTTCTTTCGCCTACCCCTGCCAGCCAGAAAACCAAATGCATGAAGCCAGCATGAGAACCATCATCTATTAACTGACTGCCATGGCTTCTTTCAAAGTGGCCTTGATACTGAGTTAAAAAAATAAAAAAGCCCAACTTGCTTAGATTAAAAATTGGGTTGGCACAGTCATCAGCAAGTAACTTAAATAGAATTCCTTAAGTTAAGAAGCATTTTTATTATAGATTAGGGATTTACAATAAGAATTGCAGATTTCTACTTGCTTTATGTAAGGAACACGTACATAAAATGTCAAAAAGTCTCCAAAGTATATACATATTAAATATAACCCGCTGAATTATACACTCAAATTTGAAACACAAAACAGTAGATAAAAAGAAGCCAAAAACTTTTTTTTTTAAGAGATGATGTCTTATTGTGTAGTCCAGGCTGGAGTGCTGTTCACAGGTGTGACCATAGCACACTACAGCCTTCAATTCCTGTGCTCAATCAGTCCTCCTGAGTTAGTCTCCCAAGCAGTTGGTATTTCAAGTGTGCACCACTGCACCCCACCCCCCCAATTTTTTTAAAACAGAAATGGAACTTTAAAAACTTTAGTTTTAATTAAGCAAGCCATATCACTTTTTGTAACTATCTAATGCCATGCATACATGCTAAAATCTTAGATAACCCAAAATTATACAAATACATGTGAAGAGGTACAACTAAAAAGAACTATTCTACATGTACATATGCAGTGAAAAAGTGGACAGAGAACCTTCCTCCTAGCCTTCTCTGGCTCCAGAGCCACCAGGCAAAGAGGGGTCGGTGTCACACTCAGCTGACTTTTCAATGCAGGATTGTAGTCTTAGCAAAGACTACCATGTCTGCTTTCAGCCTTCTGATCTAATTGATAAGCTGTAATTAAATATTATCTTTTGATAATTGAAACTTTATCAGAATAGGGATTTTTAAATCCTAAAACATTTAAATCCTAAAACATAAATCCCAAAACATTTCAATTTAGCACAGTTTCTTTCAGTAGCCTAGATCTGCTTTTTCACAACCGGGTTTCCATGAGAGGATGGAGCTCTAGTGCTGTAAGTCAGTGGTTCTCAAGGTGAGGTCCATGAACTAGCAATGTTAGAATACTTAGGAGTTTGTTAGAAATTCAGATTCTCAAACCCTACTTCAAAAACTCTAAAAAGCAATCTGTTTTAACCTCCAGATGATTTGAGGTACCCTGAAACTTCAGAACCACTACCTTAAGGCATCCATTGCTTATAATAAATTAATTTCTTTCGTATTCATCTATGGTACTAGTTATTTAGAGACATTTCAACCTAGTATAATTTCTTTTAATAGTCTAGAGAATAATTGTTATATTTCAGACATTATAATTTATTCTGAGAAACTTGGAACATTGATCAACTCTTTCCCTCTCCCCTCCAAGATTATTTCATTTTATCAGTCTTAATTATTGAGTAGAAAAACTGAGTTATTGTTAGTTTTTTCTTACTGTGTAGAGGCATATAAATTTCTGTTTAAAACTTTAGATAACAATAAGTATGCAATCAGATTTTGAATTATTAATCTTTAGTTGGTTGTATATTTACTTTTAATAAAATTAAGTTCCTAAAGAGCAATAATTGTTTGCATATTTTTTTCCTTTAGAGTGTTAGATCATTATTAAATTTTGAATGCAGAGAGTAAATACAGGCCTCCCAAATCTTGTTTTAGAATGTATATTGAGCAGTTACTTACAAAAACCAGGCTCCTTTTAAAAGTATTATAAGAAAGTACAAACAATATGCCTCTTAGATGTCACTTCTGCTACAAAAAAAAAATGCGATATATAACTTTTGTCACAATTAACTTTTTCCTAGGAGAAGAAAAGGTTAACAATTAACAATGTAGCTCGACAGTGGGACTTGCAACAACAACGAGTAGCCAGTATTGCTACAAATGAAGATAGAAAAGATTCTGACTCTCCTCACGACCCCTGTCAGCTTGATGGAAGCACCCTCTCTGCATTCCCAGAGGAAACAGGGTATGCAATGGTATTCTTTCAAGATACAGGCATCATTTGGTAATTGAATTTGGAGCGGGAATTAGAAACCATTTGACATATAATTATTTTTAAAGAGCGTTCTGAAGAAAACTTGTTGAAATTAGAAGTTAAGATGGAAAAATTGGAAATATAAATCTTACTATAATATTCTCCTAATTAAAACACCCTTCATAGGGCACTTCATATTTTTCATAGGGAAAAGCCTAGATTGCTTAACATAGTCTATGATGCCTTTTGCCCACTTCATCTCTTTTATCTCGTGCCATCAACCATCTTCTTCTGCTATTGCAGCATCACTGTCTTTTAGTTCAGTTATTTCCTACTTCAGAACCTTTCTTATAGGAATAGTGTTTTTCTGCCCTAACAGCAATCACTTCCCTGCACTATTTCTCTGATCCAGCCCTAGCTAACTTCAGCCCACCCACAGAAGTCTGAAGTTTAAACTTCACATCTTCCAAAAAAGTCTTTCCTAACTCCAAAGAATAGATCGGGTGTCCTTTTTATCTCTTGGTACCCTGCACCTCCCCTTCTTAGTAGTTACCGTAACTATGACTAAAGAACTAGTTGGTAGTTAGTTGTTTCATGTGTGTCTTCCCCATTAGAATGTAAGCTCCATGAGGAAAGGAATCCTGATTGATTGATTAAACTGCTGTTGTGTCCTCAGCAGCCATCACAAAGCCTTACTCTTTAACTGCTAGTAGTAAGCAATCGGGCATACAATCTGAATAGCGACTCCAGCTGCGCTCTAGACATCTGTCTGTTCCAGTGACTCCCAACCTCTTTTCTTCTATGATACATTTACCACATGATAACATATCCTTAGGTTTATGAGCAATGCTGAGTGCATTATCTAAACTCCACATGTTTCTCTTTCTCTCACAAAAGCATATTGAAATCAAGTAAATTCAGAGGGACATAAAGTGTCCATATCTTTATAGTGTGTGTATAATTTAAATATATATTTGTACAGCTGTCCCTCAGTCTCCATGGGGGATTGGTTCCAGGACCCCTGCAAATATCCAAATCTGCAGATACTCAATTCCCCATACAAAATGGGATAGTATTTGCATATAAACTATACACATACTACCATATACTTGAAATCATCTCTAGATTACTTAAATAGTATCTAATACAATGCCTACACATCACTTCATTTGCGTGGATTTGGCATAGTACTCAGCATGTGGCAAGTTCAAGTTTTGCTTTTGGAACTTTGTGGAATTTTTCTTTTCAGATTTTTTTGATTCATTTCATTTAATCTATGGGTGCAGAACCCACTGAGGGTGACTATATTTACATAATTTAAAAATAAAGCCTAAAAATCAAAGATACATTTTAATTTTGTTTAATTTGATGAAGCATATGTGTCTTATTACCTTAACTAAACTCTGAAACACCTTTTAAAACTAAATACAATACAATATAGCTTTCACTTCAGGTTTTCAGCTGGAATTCTTCGACCCTTTCATATAAAAATATATATGTAGTAAGGAAGTAATTTGAGTGGCATGAGAATAATGTTTTAGAAATTGTCTGGACAGATATGCTTTTTAAATTTTAGTTATAGGATTAACTTATATCAATATGTTTCCTTCAGCTCACTTGGGATCCACATGTAGACCCCCTCTGCTCTTTCAGCTAGAAAAATAAGGCAAGAATAAAAATGCTAATAAAGAGACAATTTATATAACTAATATACCACCCTTATAGAGCCCTAGAGCTTTATTTAATATTATTTAAATGGTGAAATATAATTTTACTTGGTTAGAACTATAATACTTTATAATGTTAAAACTTTATAGCAGTAGGCTGTAGATTTATGAAATAATACACGTCAGTTCTAATTTCTCTTTTTGAAAAAATATTTTTTCATTTTTCTTAAGTTTCTGTGTTTCAAGTTTATCCAAGTAATCTGGCATTTTTTATTCAAAATTGTAATAAGGTTTTAAAAGTTAGTCCTTCAATCCGTCTTTTTTTTTTTTTTTTTTTTTGAGATGGAGTCTCACTCTGTCACCCAGGCTGGAGGGCAGTGGCACGATCTCGGCTCACTGCAACCTTTACCTCCCAGGTTCAAGCGATTCTCCTGCCTCAGCCTCCTGAGTAGCTGGGATTTTACAGGTGCCACCACCACACTTGGCTAATTTTTGTATTTTTAATAGAGATGAAGTTTCACCACACTGGCTAGGCTGGTCTCGAACTCCTGACCTCAGTGCTTGCCTGCCTAGGCTTCCCAAAGCATTAGGATTACAGGCGTGAGCCACAGCACATGGCCTCAAACTTACTTTTATACACAGTGTTAGGTAAGGATCTAACTTGATTTTGTTTCAATTGACTAGTCAATTTGCTAATAACCTTTTAAAAATTAAACTATTCATTTTTTTTTGAGAATGCCATCTTTATCTCATGTTAAGTTTTAATATGTGCATGTATTTCTGGACTATCCATTTCACTTACCCATTTTAATGCCAACCACCAGACTATTATAGTAATTTTGTAGTAAGTTTTCATAACTTATAGGGAAAATAGGCTTCTACTGTTCTTTTCAGGTTTCAGTTACCATATACCTATTCTTCCATATGAACTTTATTTATTTATTTATTTATTTATTTATTTAGTCATTGAGATGGGGTCCCACTTTGTCTCCCGGCTGAAGTGCAGTGGCGTGATCTTGGCTTACAGCAACCTCTGCCTCCCGGGCTCAAGCAATCCTCCTACCTCAGCCTTCTGAGTAGCTGGGACTGCAGGCACACACCACTATGTCCAGCTAATTTTTGTATTTTTTGTAGAGATGGAGTTTTGCTATGTTCCCCAGGCCGGTCTTGAACTCTTAGGTGCTCAAGTGATCTCCCTACCTTGACCTCCCAAAGTGCTGGGATTACAGGCATGAGCCACTGTGCTCAGCCTCATAGGAACTTTAAAATCAGCTAAAATAGAAAATAAATGGTGAGAATCTTGTTCAAATCACATTTAAGTTTACTTGTTCATTTCAGAAGAATTAACATTTTTATGACAGTAATGTCACTTTGAGAAACATAGTATGTCTCTCCATTTTTTCAGGTCTTTTTTGATATCCAGAGGGAGCTAACTGGGAAAATGTTGGAAGATTGAAGGAAAATTCTAAGGAACTAAATGAGGTTAGAGACCACAAAATTATAGCAACTTTAGCCTGAATGGTTGGGCGAGTTTCTTCCAAGAGCACAGAGTAGCTAAGTGTAACAGAAGAGAAGCCAAATGTCTGATAAAGAACAAAGAGACAAGGAATCAAAGACAAGGAATAAAAATTTCAAGTGTGATGACAAAGGAAAAGATGGAAATATTCGTTAGATAGTCTAGGTGAGATTTTAAGGAATTAAAAAAACAGAAGGTTGGCAACAGATAGGAAGAAAATTTTATGTTTCTGGGACTGGAAGTCTAATTAAAGTTGCTGATGAGGAGCATATTAAGTAAGAGCATTAATATGTGCTGCAATAGTGGGAATTTATGGTCAGAGTAAGTTTTTGAGGTTGAATATTGAGTAAGTTTAGAGATGTAATACATGTAAGTAATGAAATCTAGGCAATATGGAAGATGTTGTGGTTATCAGAGTGGATTGTTGAAAAAGAGTAGAAGTGAAGGTCACCAGAGGAGAGACGATCAGTTGAAACTGATCAGTTGAAATTATTGCAGACGTTGAAGTTACTGATGGTAGAACAAGGTATGGTACCAGAGGCCATGCATCCTGCTCTCTTGTGACAGGGCTATTCATTGTTGAAGTTTTACTAGTTTTGGCAGCTTCAGTGAATGCAGGAGTATCTTTTTTATTAAATGGCTATTTCATCTGTCAAAACTGTCTCTGATCAGTGGATTGCGACTATTAACATGACTTTGATGACATTTTGAACTTTTAAGGTGGCATCTAGCCAAACATTTTATGACCCTCTAAAAGAATTTAAAATTATAGGGTCTTTATGGTCTCAAAAACAAGCAAACTGTTCCAAGAGAAAGAGGAAGTATCTGTTAGTGAAAACTGTTGTGCCTTGTACTTATTGCCAAGAGTTTCAGAATTTTTATTAGGAGTTCCACAAAATCTGAAGCTTTTAAGAAAGGAGCATAGAGAAAGCATTTGGGAGAGATGGGAGAAGTGATGCAGGCGTTCAGTGGAGATGTAGAGTAATGATGAATCATTAAGAAAAGGATGCACAATTTCTGGCAGAAGATTTACTTTTTACAAATGTGTGTTTAAACTGTCATGGAAACAATGTTACATTCTCTTAGTTTGATTCTTTTTTTAATGACCTAAAAACTAGCAAGTTGAGTAGCCACAGAAGATATTTATACATGAAGATAGAAAAAATAAAATTTTAGGGACAGATAGTACAAAACTGGTAGAGATTATAATGTAAAATCAGTTACTTATAACTTCTACTAGTTGTAGATTTTTCTTCAGATTAGTTTGTAGTTATCTGATTCCTGTAAAATCTCCTAAACTGAAATTTAGAGATATTTCTAAAAGAACTTACTATACCTTGCATTTTGTCTAAACCAGGAACTCTTAACCAGAGCATCCAGTTTGTCTTTTTGAATTGTAAGTCCTTATTTTACTTGACCTCCTTACAGCATTTGACACAGTCGAAACTCCTCATTCACCTGATTTTCCTTTTATGTATGTGGCCACTCTTTTTTTTTTTAAAGTGGTATTTTACTGGCCCCTTTTCTACCAAATCTTTAAACGTGTATTATGTGATTTTTGAATCTGTAAGATTTAGATATACTACTTGCTATAATAAATGAAGATTCAGCTCTCTCACCTCTTTTCCTCCCCACACTATATATCTATAGTTGTTTTATTGGTAGCTTCTGTAATATATATATAAATCTTTATTTTTTATTTTACCCACTATAGGCAATGGCTCTCAAGTCTGCATTTGCAAGATGCATCTATCCTTTTTGTTTTTCCCACTTTGTACACTGCAACTTCTATCAGCTATACTTTTCTA